GTAATACATTTTGTAATATACTTTGTAATTATACATTATATAACTTGCAATTATATATTATATACATTTTATATAATTCTTCGTGTATTATATTTTTTATTTGACAAATTTGTAAAACCTATTTATTATAAAAAAACCTATATATTAAAAAAAAATTAAATAAAAATTTTTCCTTTTCGATGTTATCTCTACCTTAACGAAGGCATTTACCGGGTGAGGAGGTTTGAGTACTTTAACGAACCTGAGAACTATGCCGGCGGTAACGTATAGCGTTTTCGAGTGAAGCAAGTTTGATCGTTTTGAGATCGATTAATGACGTCATATATTCCGTCTTGAATTATTAGGGATACTTGAATTATTATATAAATTAATTAATAAAATACTTTAAGTAAGCGTTTGATTGATTAATCAGGACAAAGAATCTTGTGTTTTAAAGATAAAATAGCGTCAAAAACGAGGAATATACTTTATATTATTTATATTAATCAGATTCTTTCAAAACCTATTTTTTGTCAAACATTGATCAAACATATTCATGGTAAATTAGGTTTAATCGCTCTCAAAGTGATCAAACTTACTTCACTCGAAAACGCTAATAGTTACCGGTAGGTCACCCATGCCGGACAGGTCGAAGGGGAAGAGTCAGACTAAGAGAGATACCGTAATTATTATATATTTATTATATTAATGTTTTTAAATAAAATAGAAGCAAAAGAGACAGTAATTGAGAGAATAAAGAAATAGGGGCCCCAAAATATTTTTTTCCGTGATTGATCCCACCGGAACCGATGTAAAAGCAAAGCACGTTGAAATCGCTCTCCACCTTTAGAATCGTTCTCCTCTCTGTCGGATATTAATTGGCGTACTATCCGGCAGAAAAATTTTGATCTGTTCAAATAATTATCGTCAAATTCTTTGCAAACCGAAATGTTTTATCTTATTCTTGATCGCTATCATTATTTTTTTATTTAATTGTTGGCCTGCATCAAATCTTTACCTATCTTTTCGCGCATCGAATTTTAATTACAAGTTGATTATTAATAATAGATATCGCCTAATTAATCATCGTTTATTAATCATAATCCAGTCTAAAAATTTTTAGTAAATTTTGTATTATACGCATTTCTGGGAGATTTTCATATAATATCATGCAATAAGCTATTTTATTTTCAACTATATATTCTGTATTAAATTTTGTATATACTTTATTTAAAATTCTGTAACATATTTTCTGCATTATAATTATATCAAAAGAATTGTATAATATTAAAATATATTATATTAAAACTTCTTTCTAAAACGTATTTATTATTTTGTTTTGTATTGTACATATTTTGTAAAGTAAAATGTGATTTGTATTGAATTAAAACAAACAAACATAATAAAAATTTTACCTCCTCTAATATCTTTATCTTAACGATGACATTTGCCGGGTGAGGAGATTTGAGTACTTTAATGATCTTGAGAGCTATACTGGCGGTTACGTGGTTATCGGTAGGATCATCCATGTCGAACACATCGAAGAGGAAAACTCAGACCAAGAGAGATAATTGTATGCCATGAAATATTTCATATTATCATCAGTTGAGTGAAACGCGGATCTAGAGTCTTTAGAAATTCGCCGTGACAGCTACTCAATAAATGCGATGCAAGCGAGAGGCTGCAACGGCGACGCTTGCCTGATAATCGATTGAACATTTGTTCGGTAGACTGGAAGTGCCCGATACTCTCTCGAGGAGAGGTAAAAGTAACGTGCAAGCACGACGTTTCCTCGCCACGGAAGCGGAAAGTGGCACCGATTTGTACGAACCAACGGAAACGACGTCTTTGCTACGCAACACGAACGAGATAAAAATCCGCATAAGTGTCGCGAGACGTCTTCACTTTGAAGGAGACTTTCCCTGCGTCGCGCGCCCAATTTCATCTTCGCTCTCCGCGTACGCAAAATTAATATTCTGCATCTTTTAACGCGAAACACTTTGTGTAAATTAGAAAGAATAACCGCTTCATAAATATTAATTAAATATTGTATTATCGCGCCGCGTTTTTTCATGATCACAAAGCATATATTAATTTTGATAGAGCATATATTAAGCATATATTAATTTTAAAGATTTCTAACAAGAATAATACAACGAGATGCTGCAAACATCTTGTTTATATATAATATATAAAACATACAATTTTTATTTTTAATAGAAATAGAATATATAAAATAATAATTATCTTAAAAATTTTAATTAAAATTCTTTTATTTTACGATATGAAGCACAATCATATTGATTACATCTTTCTGCGCTGAAATATACAATTTCTATATTCGATACAATTAGTGAAATCGTTATTTTTATAAAATATTTCCTTACACATAAAATTAATCCCTTTCCATTTAGAATTACCGGTGATTTTGCTCTACGATGAGTCAAGCAGTGCATGAATGTTTTTTACATACTTTCAAATCTTCTTTTTGCTGCTTAACACGTGGCTACAGTTAGTTAACTCTAGAATGAATAAGCGCTCTCAGTGGATCTCCACCGGATCCTTATCTTTTTGCGCGGATATACGATACATCTTACACGAATCATGCAATCAAATCTCGCGCGCAATGTCGTAATGTTGTGATGAATCTCGAACGAACCTTAAACGGAATATTCTACCGGTTTTACGAGAGAGATTATAGCGACGGCGTGTCGTAACTTTTTAAGCCAACTGTAAATACTGTTCTTGTACGAAAAGCTGCATGAATAATTAATAGCAGTATTTTTATACGCGATTATCTCACGTAAATATCTTGCCTCATTTGCTCTGAAATATTTTCACTTAGGACTAATTAGCAGATCATGCGTGAAAATACGCTTATTAAGCGGCTGTACGTGTTGATACGTTGAATTGCGGTAAATAGATAAATGTCTTTAAATCGAAAATTAATGCAAAATATTTTTAATTACATCCTTCAATAATTATTATCCTAAGTGTTAAATAGCTAATTATTATCAATGTAAATAATATTGTTGATCTAATTTGTATAATTCATACTCAATTAAAACTCTATTACAATTAAAACAAAATTGGTTTAGAAGCTGTTGGAAGATCACAGATAGAAAGTTCTAAAGCTTTATCTAAATAGAAATTTTTGGAACTTTTATAATGGTAATGAGCTGTTTCTATTTCAAAGAATCTAAAATTTGAATATTTACAACTGCCTGCTTTACAATTTCGAGATATCAGATTGCAAATAACCATACAGCACAAATTATTCTTACAACCACTATTTTATATAATGGATAATTATTATTTAGTTGACAATTTATTTTAGCTTTAATTGTGAATATAAATAGTTCCGCTTATTTCTATCTTCCTTTATATCCATTTTGCTTGTAACTGCTCAGATTAATATTCGCTTTTACCGAGTTATTAATGCATGACACAGAGAGTAGACTAGACTTTCGTTATATATTATAAGACACAGTTTCTCCGTCCGCAAAGATCGAGTGAGAGTCTACGTATAGTTGAAGGTATATGTGTTTGAATATTCCGAGCGTGTTCAAATAGTTGCAGGAAACTTTCGTAATTACTAATACACGCGAGCGCGAGTAATACAGCGCCCGATAGTAATTATCGTGCACCACAGATTTCGTCGCGGATAAGAGGGCTGTCTATCGTGTTTATCATTTTATTGGCAAATTTCATTCCTGAACAAGATCTGCTTGAGAAACTGAAAGGTTTGTGCTGTTTCGGAATATCTAGATTCTTTGCGCGGTTAAAGTGTCGTAAAACAATTATTAATACTTATTTGCAATAAACATTTATTGCAATTGACGAACTTTTACCAAACTTTTAGTGAAAAATGTACATAAATTTAGTCAAGTACTTTTAAATGTATTTTTACATTCTAATTTATTTTACAAGATGCGTATCTAAAATGTTTAATTGTAATAAAGGGTATAATAAAACAAATACGATATATAGGCAGCCACTTTTTTATTCCATTCTTACAGATTACATATAATATATTTACATGTTTCTTAGAAAAATTCTTACAAAAATTTTCTAAGATCGGCCATATTCATGTGTCTGCAAAAATTACGTAAATACGAATTAATTACATCTAGAATGCGGTTGTTTTCGGCGCCATGGATCAATAAAGCTGCAAATTTATATATTTTTCGCCAGCGTGTACCGCGCGATTAAAAATGGTGAATACGGATTAAATTAACCGAGAAGCCGAACGCAATAAGCGTAACGTAGAACGTATCTCGCGTTCAGAAAAAATTGCGATTAGATTACACGGAAACGAAAGCATCGGCAACGCCTTCATTGAGATTCACGGCTTCTGTCCATTTCTGTCTTATTCAGTATCGTAATGTATACCATATTTACATATAGCGTTACGTATTACTTGTCAAACTGCATCGTGTTGCACAGATCGATCTTGGGATCGTATTACGACTATTCGCCCGCGAAAAAGGCTATCTATACTTAATTAAATCGCCATTGCAGTCGCAATAAATAACTTACCAATCGGCAAAACATATCACCGGTTTTAACGATTTTATAAATTCAACGGAGCGCGGACCAACTTATATTTACCGATCTTGTTTTTATAAGCGGATATCTTGACGTAATACCGGAGCGGATCGCAACTCAGTCTCGCTCTCTTTGTTCTAGGATTGCACTGTCGTACACAATGCTTTCTGTCGCTATTAATTGTACACGCCTTAACGTTACTGCCACGCAAAGGCGCGAGTACCCGTAATATAATGCACCATAAAGTACGGCTTGTACTTTCGTCGACTTCAATATATGTAGATAACGGACGTTCTTGTTGCCGTATACGGGATTATCGCGGCGTTAGATATGAAGACCAAGTAAAGAGCATAATATCAATTTTAATATTAATGTCATTAATAATAGATTGATATTTTAAATAATCTTTAATTGAAGAGATAAGAAAATATGGATTTCATTTACTGTATGCTCTTTTGTAAAATTTTCACTTTTTGCGTTAATATTTTGTATATTATTCATTATGCTTTGAGAAGGATCTATTCTTCTTTCTAAATTCTTTTTATCTCATACTGACACATTTACATATTCTATTTATATTGCACTAATAGTTTTTCTTATCTTGAGAACTTTACGTAATCCAGCAAAGTTAACGGAAAATAGAAATATTCTCACGCCTCGAATCATGTATAAAAAAGCTATTATTAAAACATTATTTTAGACTCGTCCTTCTTTCAATGGTCACATATCATCGTGTAATACTGATCTATGAGTTTACCACAATTTTTTTCAACTAGAATCTGCGAGCCATGTCATTCGAAATCTTGATCTTCTTTAAGTTGTCATCTTTTTGACATCGTTCGATGTTTAGTAGTAGAAATAAGTGAAGTAACCTGCAACACATAAATAAAAATTCGATTCTTGATCATTTTTAAACATTTGGATTGATATCAGAATGATATTAAAATAATATTTAAAAATATCAGAGAATTATATTTGATAACAGAATAATCAATTATCGAGAAATATTTTAAAAATAAATTTTTGGAAATATTTATAGACAAAATTTATTCCTTATAAATTTATCGCGCGGATATATTTCATATCGTATATTAAAAGATTTCCAAATTATCTTTAAGCTATGCCAGAACGATATAGATTCAAAGAAACTATTTTGATCTGTCTATTTCTTCATTGTTCCGTTTGCAAAACTGCAAGAAAGCAAGGAAAAAATTAACTTTTGCTTTTTCAACTGCTTGCACTTTTGCGCTTGGGATGCTTACAATGGATTCCGTCAGATTCTTCGTCATCATCGCGGTAAAATCGCTTTTAAACTTTCTTAATTTTCTTTGCGCAATCAAATTCTAATTATCTCTTTCTCTCTCTTTTTCTCTGACGTTTTTCTCATTTCCTTTGTCTTTCGATATTCTCGCGCGACTACTTGCTATCGTTGAGAGTTCTTAAATTTATCAGTGCGAGATTCATTCAACAGTGTGATTTCCATCTACAATTGTCGCCAAAAGTCTCGTTCGGAGTACTAATGCCCAGAGCATTTGAACGTCTCTAATGAGTAGCAAGGGGTGATACTACTTCAAAGCTACTAATTATAAGACCCTTGTCACCTTGTCTCGCCACCCGCCATGGCAGCACTGACCCCATCCCTTTCGTTTCTACCCTTTGATTAGTAGGTGCTCGCTTTTCCGGTCCCCTAATGCTTTCTCAACTCTCTCTCACTTTCATACGTAGCATACGTGTGCGTTAGCAAAATCGTACGCAGCGTCGATAATAAAGTCGATCGTGAAACGAACGAGGGATTCAAATGGAAGCCATTAGAGGATCGAAAAGAGTCTGCCAATTCTGATTAAAGTCAATTTAAACGTCCCAACAATGGATAATAGCGTTCAGAAATAATCGTCGGTAAATGGCGGCGAGTGAATCCGGCTTAAAAATGAATTGCGCGGTCAAAGTGCGTATTTTGCTATTTCGTCGTATTGCTGATATTTAGAAATTGTCGTTGATTTTATATTAAAACATTGTATGTATAACGTTACGCAAATTACATAATTTTACGTATTAAATGTTAGATTTAATATAACATTTATTATCCAGAGACATTGAAATATTTGCTCTATAAAAATTGCAATGCTCTATAAAATGCAATTAATTTATTCAATACATAATGATGAATATAATTGATGGTAAAGTGATAAATATCTCGCAAATAACTTGCACTTTTTAAAATAAACAATATGTTGTATGACCAGTATAATATCGACATTATTTGCAACTGCTTGGTCAGATGTACTAAATCATTGCTTTTATATCGAGTGTACGCTATAAAACTTTTTTACGCAGCCGTGCGACGTCTTTTCATCCAAGTTCTAAATTAATGTCCTGTGAAAAAGTATTTAACAGAGATATCGTTAAGTTACGAGAGTTTGTTCCCACAGGGAATACCGACGACGAGTTTTGGGGAAAATTCGTTTTTCACGCGCCCTCCTCCTTTCAACCCCAAATAAATTTCCGTCAAGGACGTCCGAAGGGGTCATCAGTTTTTGCGTGTTGCGTAATTAAATGCACATCGTCGGGTTTAATGACTATTAAGGGAACGAATGGTCGTTTGATCCGGAACGTTACCATTTTTTGTTTTATATGTTTAGCCGCGCAAGATTTACAGAGTGGCTCGTTGTCGACATGAGATAAAATTATGCGTAATTAGCAAACGCAGACAAGCATTATTCGCACGCTCTTCTTTTTATCGCGATATATCTCTTGAGTTTCAAAAATGAAAATGGTTGCAGAAATTATTCATGAAAGGAAGTCGCTCGCACGCGAATTGCATCAATCCCGCTCCGTTTCTTCGATTTTATCAATCCGATTAGCACGTGTTTCAACGTCTCTCAACGGTTCTCAGCGGCTTTATTTCTCCTGCCAGAGAATTAAATTATACTTTACGCTCGTTATCTGCTAACGGGCTGGTTAATCTTCAAAATTGTCCCGATAAAGCTGCTACCCTAACTACAACCTCAGGTCTTACTTTCATGCTTAACGTTTCTCGCCCTTAATGCGCTACCACATTAATCACGGCCCGATTGCCAAGATTTCTCTCTCGCGTCGAGTTGCGTGTATTAACGAGTACAAAGTGTTATAAAATGCGAGATGTACAGGTCTTCGCTCGATATCCGGCTCGTGTTTCTCCATCCAGAGGAATTTATTCGCTTCGCCTTCACTTCTTTTGCGTCGTACGCGAGTTTTAATACCGTTAGCAATACCCTTCGTTAATTTTTATAGAGTTATACAAACCTGTGCGCATCATATAGCGTTACATTATATTCAGTTGATATGTTTTCTCATTTAATCCCGCGCAAGACAACAAATATTTAAAATGAGAAGGGGAATATATTCAGTACAAGTAATTTATGAATCTTTGTTCTTTGTCAAATCACAAGGAGTCCTCGTCAAATTGGGCAATTATTTACCGACGGAAATATATGTCGGTTTATGGGAATAAAGCTTTATTGCGTCGAGCCGATTGCAACAACATGCCCACGCATTACGCGGTTACGTTCTTTCTGCGTTTTTTGCATTGAATTTCGCAGACGCACATATTACTCAATCGAAAGAGTTCTCACTCCTTTTGTCGATCGATAATTACGAACTTGACTACCTGGCATTACCGAATAACATTGATCTTTCCACAAGACAGCCGGTAACGAATCCGTGATTAAAATCGTCTCCATCGTTCTTTTCGAAAATGTTATAACATCTGTCACTCGCCGCAGGGAGAAACGTAATTTTATGATTACTAATAAAGTATTGGATCATGGACTTTTGCAATCATTTTGTCATTCGATAAACATTTCTTGGCGAAATGTTTGAATGAGATATAGCATGAAACACGAACATTATATAATTTCTCCAATTGACAAGATACATACATTATTGTCAACTATCTTTTGACTTTCGCTTATGTTAAAAAAAATTTAGTTAAATCAAATGATTTGCGTTTTTCATCTAATATTGTAATTCCAAAAAATTGCGTTTCTCATCTAATATTGTAATTCCGTGTCTTTCCTTAGAATTAAACGAGAAGAGACATGATTCGTGCAGATGATAAAATAAGTTGATCGAACTTGACCGCGCATGACCGTCAAGTCTAATTCGGTCGGGTCAAAGACGAGACTAAGGGAGCATTGATCTTCGCTTTTCGATCTCTGTCTCTCCACCAGCATATAGTATAACGCGTCGCTGACCAAAAAAGCAATCTTGTCGCTTTGTCGACCTCGTAACACCTGTTACGCGCAATGGAGTAACTTAAGTAAGGTTACGTGTAAAACGGGTTTAAGCCACACACGAGGCCACGTAGAGTCGAAATCGCTTTCACTAAACCGTCGCGGACGCTCCAAGTGTATTCCAAGGCTGAAGATTCATCGCGCGAGAAAACCGGTACCTAACTGCGTTCGCGGAAGAAGGAAGTATAAAGTTCCACCTCACGCTCCTTTTCTCTCGTGGCAATCGTTTCTTTTTCTCTTCCTTCCTCTCATGATGTCTCTCGTTATGCCCGTTGATGAGTCTATTTCGATAACGGTCGAGAGCAGGTGCGAAGGACGGCGCGAAAAAATGAAAGCCGCGAGTACGCTTAAATTACCGGAAGAAACACGCTGCCTATGTATTACGTCGCGGAAATTGAGGAGCCGATTACGCAAGAAAACCTATGTATGTTCTATGATTCTACAATACGTTTGAGCTTGAATCAAATATATTCGTGAATATAGAATCTAATATCACTTTGTTCCCGTTTCGAGCGAACGGATGACGGTAAGTGGTTCGTTGGAGGTAACTGACAAGGTTAATAAGATAAAGATCCAGCAAAAGTTTTCATTATTAAAAAAAAAAAAATAATTTACCCTCATCGTCGTGTAATTATAGATAACGTCAACGGAAACATTTATTGAATATTTACGAAATATAATTATAAGAAAAAATATATATCTATCGACTTACCTGCGATTCATGATATTATGTTATCTATCCGCTAGTGTGCATTTCTGGCATGCTGACGGAGATATGCTACGGTGCACTACGATTACTAAAGAACGGCTAAAGAACCCAAGTACCACATATTAGTATCGCGTCTCGCTGTCGCGATTTGCGATCCCGAAATCGCGATTTTCTATTTCTAATTCAATGAAAATCATAGAATGAAAATGGCGAACGAAACGTTGAAAATTAAAGCTTAGCATGCTCGCAATTGCAGCCATCTATTGTAATGCTATCCCCACGTACAGTTTCTCGAAGATGTAAAAGGAGAAGAACTGATTATCATTCTTGAACACTGAACGATGGGATATCATTAACACACTCGCAAAATGACGTACTTGCCGAGATTCAAGGATCGAACGTCGGGGGAAGTAAGAAAGTCGACCTTCGCGAAAACATAATGATAAAGGTAATGGGAAAATAATTTCTGCGGTTTGCCAATCTGAACTCAATGGTATGCATTCGACACGATGGTCGAAATTACGTCATCTTAATTTTTTAATAAATCATTTTTTTGTCGTTACATAACATATAAAGGAAGAGATCGAAATTTGTACAACGATTACTATGCGTATACGTCAGCTTTGCGACGATTATTTGCTAGTTTTTTTTTTTTTTTTTTATTAAGTTACAGTGCATTTATATATTATAATATCCTTAACAACTATAAAGATTGTTCGAACAGTCGTGAAATTTTTTTACAATGAAAGAAAAATCGCGTTTATCGTTTTAATATCGTTGTCCTTATGCCAAAACCACGAATGCGCAAATGTTATGTGCCACAATGTAACATAATGTAAGCATTATGCTTAAATAATTTGAAGGAATTACAAGAATAAAACAAGAACCTGATTTTTCGGAACAAATTAAATTTTCAAATTGCAATAACTTAGAAATATTTACAAAATTGCACATTCGTTATTTTGGCATAAAAGCGACGATACATTAATACGTTTAATTGTGACATATTAAAATGCATTATTACATTTACACAATTTAATATCGCATTGAAATTTTGGAATATTAATATGCGTATTAGATTTATGTGACTTTTCGAACGGTTCGTAAAACAATAATTATAGTGTTGCACATGCACGACGACTTTAAGAAAAAATTAAAATAGGATTAAAGTGAGGGAGAGGATTGTGAGGATATCATCTACTTATTTTATAGATGACAAAAATAAATAGTGCTTATATATAAGTTGGGTGCAGAGAGGCGAACGAGGCATTACGTGATAAGAGATACTCTCTCTCCTTTTTTTTTCGTTTCATTCTATTATCCTTTCGCCTCGACAGCTCTTTAAATTATCTTTACATGCAGGGATTGGTCATGTGAAGGCTCGCCGATTCGTATCCCAGCACCGATCCCTTTCAACTTTCTCGATATTTTTTCTTTTTTAGATGCCTCTCCAAATATCTTTTGATTCTCAAAACCTGGTGAACGAATTACCTGCGGTGGGTGGCACGAATCCATATCCGCTCGCACCTACGATGACACCACTGGTGTCAGCTGAGTTAGGTGGCGGTCCAGCTGGGAATAATATTGGACCTACGGAAAGAAAACCATATGCGTTAAACGTACTCTCACAATTTTTTCGTAAAAGCCGTGATCGTTCTCATGATTGTTTGTCATGATATCAAAAATCTAAGCTTTATTTCACTTTTTTGTATTTTCTGCCAATGAATACGTTTTTAAAGTTTTAGGGCAATCCTGAATCATATGAGAAAAAAAACACATGATATTCTTAGCATAATTTTCACTGAAAAATCTTAACCATTGTTTTAATAATATGTACCATCAATCAACAATTTATAATAAAATATTGTAATACACTAGCATACTTATTATAAATGTTCGTGTCTGGTGAACTTGATAATCCGTAGAAATATTAAACGGTATTTTTATATAATACAATAGATAGTGATATACAGGATCTATTAGATTCTTATCAAAACTGTTTGACAAGATTGAGGAAAATTGATTGAATTCTCGGATCAATTACAAAGATTATTATTAGTTTTACGGTCATTGATGCATTGATACGCGATTGGTCACACAGCAGAAAATAAACAGTATCATTAACACTTTAAATATCAAAAGCATTTCAATTAACTTTTCACAAAAGCTTAATTAAAAACTTCTATTCACAAAATAGAAATATCTTTTTTTTATATACACTGTATTATTGTTAGAAACATGTAATTATAAAATATTATTTATTATATATAAATAGAATTGCATATATATTAAGATATCTTAATATCATAATGTTCATCAGTAATTATAACATGCTTGTGTTAATTACACACTCATTTTTTATTCATTTAATACTTTCGAAAACTGACGGAAACTATTATTTTAACAAAAATAAATGGCACATAATAGTTTTATCAACGTTTAAAAGTAATTTTAAAAAGGAACTGCTTCAAAAGAAATCTTGTGAATGAACTTCAATTTTGTTTTTATTTATTGTGCGTCTTATATTATTCAATAAAGTACATTTAATAATAGCACCACGTTGTTACGTGGTGCATTAAAAGAAAGTTGAATTTGTCTACACAGGAATGATGAAAATCCTTTCTAATACCAGGAAGTTATTTTCTTCGCGTATTACATTAATCAATTTGCTACAATATTATATATATGGAGATATTATCTTTATCTAGATACATTTAAATTTATTAAAATAATTATTTTAGCGATCGTAACATAGATAACAAACCTAACAAACGCCAGTTTTCGCGTCTTTTCCTATCTGTTATTTATGATGATGTAGTAATAAAATACACGAGCTAACCGCACCTGCAATGAGTAATCGTTATGAACGTGTAGTAGTAGGAAAACGGACAATTTATTTGACTGATGTAGACTTCTGATGTTATCCCGATGATCGCAGACTCCTTGTCAGCAGTAGCCTCGATATAATAAGAATTATGAACACAAGATAGATGTTCGGAAGCGTTAATCGTTTATAAAGTGCGATATAATTTACACATTTCAAAATTTTTGACATTTAACTACAAGAATTTAAAATGCATGAGTTAGATAAAGAGCATGAAATATCATAGGATAGATAGACACAGCAAAATAATATGTTCTATTAGGATTTCTATCGCGAACGTTAGCATTTGCGTTGGCTGATTTAAATTGTGATTTATGTGACTTAGACTTATACTACTTGTTCAGCATTTCGTCAGACATGTAGTATGCCACATTATCTATCATACTTAAATTTGAACTTGACACTCATTCCGATGCTGTTATACGCATAATAATACTGGAACTAGTTGCAAGAATCGAATATCCTGTTCGTGCAACTAGTGTTTATGCATCGTTTAAATAACATGTAGTTCAACCAACCTTATAAGTCGAAGAATGCAACGTCAACATGATATTGCAATATTTTTGGAACACCATGTTAAATTATATGTTTATAATTGTAAATTGATTATATCAGAAAAAAATTTTAGCGTAAATGAAATTCTATTTTCATGAGTCACATTTTATAATACATTATAAAATTCGCGTCAATTTTCTATAAAAATACTACCATGTACCAACTGTCAATTATACCCAATACAGGAGTATAATTGGCAGAAACCAAGTGGTCGATGCACTACATTATAAAAATTTTACCATAATTCACGATGCTCACAATACATAAACACTAGCCTTTCCTTCCGTTACACGCGTACACGTGTACAAGTAAATTTCTAGTTAGTCTCGCTGTTCCGGTAAAAGTTCCATACCGTCTAAGCAAGGTATAGGTTCTGCATTAACTGCGAAACTCTACAATTCAATTCGATCTTATTCTTCTCTATTGCAATCAATCGTTTGATTATATGACAGTGCACTTTACTAAGAGCATTCCTTTTATATCTTGGATCTTTACGACCGAGCAAATATAACCATCATAAAAACAATTAGTACTAGATTGCCAGTCTTGCACAAAATGTTATATAAATAAACGCGGTACAAGTAATGAGAGCTTTAATAATTAATCCTCTAAAATATTACCGTGTGATTTTTTCTTGATTTTATCTGTTTCTAATTAAAATTATTAAACCTGTCAAATAAATGTTTAGAATTACAACAATTTTATAATAATTTTAATCTTTAATTTATTTTAATCATTATCATATGTTAACTATTTCAAAATTAATTCCAAAATTAAATCAAGATTTACATGATTTGAAATAAAAATAAGAAAAAATAATAATTATCCGGAGCAAATAAGATTTTTATTACAAGTTTATATACTGAAACGAAAGTTGTATATTGTTGCATAATTCTAATTTTTTAGTTATTAGTTTTTTGCAAATGTAACGTAATGTGTGTGCCAAGACTTTTAAAAAATTAATGTGATAATATATAAAACAGTAATTATAATTATGCTTTATTTCGTCTTTCGATAATCTAATAAAAGAGAATTCGTTTCCAAGAGATATTTTACATTGAGTAAGAACTTTCCAATGATCATGGAATTCTAAGGGAGCAGTGTCAAAATGTCTACCTTTATTTCGCAAATGAAACGATGCTGTTTCTTGACGGCGTATGCAAATAGAAGAAAACAATAACAAATTATCGTAATTGCACGATTTTCAGTTTCCTGATAACATAGAGGATATACAAGGGGAAACGAACGCTTCCGAAGCATATCGTAAACTTCAACGAGCACCTCGAGAAATCTAATAATAGCGCACAAATAAAAAAGGAAAGCGTAATTGTTTCGTAGCAAACGTGCAGTGCCAGTAATAATATAGCGACAAATCATCTTCGAATTATGCAAATTGATGTACATAGCTGCAGTTATAAAAGTGCAAAGGTTATCTCAGAAAACCAGAAAAGTTACACCAGAAAAGAAATCTTTATTTGGACAATTTATAACGTTATATCGCGATAAAACAATAACAATAATACATCCAGCAATAATTTTAGAAGATAAATATAATATAAAAGTCTCTCATGTTATTATAAATTTAAGCTTTATGTTAATAAAATTATCTTAACCGTTATTGTCGCTATTCTTTAAATAACTTACCTCTATTCGATCTCGGATCTCTCATTACTGCGCTCTGGATATAAGGATTAAATCCTGCGAAGAAATGCCTGAAATTCTGCGTCGAGACTCCCGTCAGAATAGCCATGACAAATGTGACTAGAATTATCTGCAAGTAAAAGTTTGTTCATAAATTTCTATTTCTCATATAGATACAAGGAATGCTTTCTAAAGAATTATATTAATTTTTAAGAGTGCATTACTCGATAAATTTAAAAATAGATTTTTTTTTTTGCACTGACTTTCTAAACTAAAGAATATTCATAAAAAGAGCAGTATATCTGTGATGATAAAAGAGATGGTTATTTATGGCAATCTCTAAAATACAAGAGTCTTAATTTATAAATTGTAAAACACACATTGTGAAAAGCAAAAAGGAAATGTACGGGTTAAAAAAAAAACAAATCTCAGATGTTTAATTTTATACTTTTGAACATTATTCAAAATGACGCAACCTTGTTTGCAAAAACGTTTCTTCGCAAATACACGATATTAGCACAGGGTTTTTAATTGAGAAAGAATCTTTCTCAATGAGCATTCACACGTTCAGAGACTATACCGTTGATTTACATAGATTAAAATGAAAGATAGATGTAAGAAACTAAGAATGTACTTCATGCATTTCACATATAGAAGTTGCCGGCTATAAAACATAACAAAGTAAAAGTATTTTCGCGTAGCCTCTAATCACTTGGATTCTCGTGTAGCAACAGCTGCTTGACGAAACTTGCTCTTCGTAACGCAAACGAGCAATCAAATCACCGCGAGAATAATTTTATCCGCATTACAACTGTCCAAAAAAATGAATGTTATTATGATAATTATCGATATTTTACACCAAAGTCCCAGGTAGATCTGTCAGATGCTAAATAATGATACTATCTGCATAATGATACCGAGTATAGGCTTTAAATTATCGAGATAGGCTTTAAGAGCCGATAGAAATGTTGTGCACAGTCGTGCGTTACGGCCACGCGCTCTCTGATCTTTGAAAGTTATATCGTCCGTGATGAAAGTGCGTGACAATTTTTACGACTCATCGATCGCTAACCACGTTTCTAATATACAATTTTCACCACAAGCTAAAGAAATTTACGACTCTATAACGCTACTTCTCTCTAAGAGCAAGAGTGCTTCGTAGAATATTCACGAACAGATATATGTACTTCTCAGTATCTTTATTTTGTCGAAAATGATTTGACACGCAAATGACAAAAAAATTAGATTTTGATAAAAATTTTAAATCTGTTAAACTGTAAAACTCATTTAGCATTATTTTATCTATTTTTTATTAATAATAATTTTGCTTTTAATAACAATAATCTCTATTATTCGTGATTTATCAATTTTATACGTTATAACTATTTCATGTTTTGTAAGTCTCGTAAAAAGAATCCTGCCACAATTAAATTGCTGAAGAAAGCTACAGAGAGAGAGAGGGATTAGTTAGATGGGTATGATGCAAACCGCATTTGCTTCGAAAATCCGTTATCGCGGCATGAATATCGTAGTTCTTGCGCAAACTCGAGAAAGGTGGAGCTTTGGGAATGGGATCTTCGGGCCTAATTTCTTTATCCCTCGAGATCGTTCTTCTTACGTAAAGCCTGATGAAATTATTACAGCCGATTTACGAACCTCTTGACGACACTCGAGGCATCGTCAAACGTGTCGAAGGACACCGTCCCTCGGGCGTAATTACGAAGCCGGTTCTTGGAGTAATCGCGGATAAAGGTTATCTCAATCGTCGGAACGAAGTGCAATACCAGTTTGCTGCCATAGAGTTAGTTTGTCTGCGAGATTTCTATATCAAAGGCAAGGTGAGCCGCCGCCACGGCCACTTTCCGCCTCTTTTTACACGATTTTCTCTTACCTGCGCAATGTCAAGGCGAATGCGCTCGGTGGTTTACCTTTAAAATTCGAATACCGTGAGTGTGCACGTGAAATGTTTCTCAATTGTAAGTTTGTTATATATTGATGGTATGCAAGTAGACACGTATCCGTTTTGCATTTAATGTTTAAACAGGAATCTCGAGACCGACAATTCCTGTTATGTTATAGCTTTCAGATTCTGAGATTTTAATCTGAGAGATCGGCTTCATAAGTCTGAACTTAACTGCAACAATATTTTTTTATACGTATAGCGACGATCTGTATCCATTTAATTATGATAGAAAAGTAGCGGCGAGACATGTAGTCACGATTTATTATCTATTTTCTAGTAATATATGTCGCGGCTCATTTTACACTCGATAATTTTAACGTATTTAATTCCAAACGTGCGGATTATTATCATACAAGCGTAATGCAATAATGTTGCCTCGGAGCAACATTAAATATATTAAAATAATTGACGGATTGAAAGCCTCGCAATGATGGAATGAGAATTTGGATGTTATTCGACGGGTATCGCGGCAGATCATTTATTCGACTATCGCCGAGAATAAATACAAGAGCGGAAAGACATATTAATACAGGCTCGGTTACAGGACGGCAGATTGACAGCGTTTTTAATTAAAAACATTCATTAAAAGAGAATAAACGCGCGTTCCGCCGTTTACGATTCTTTTTTTCTCGCAGAGCGAGAGGCACGCTTTCTTGTTTCTGATTCTTATCATGTGCGGTCGCATGTTTCAAGCATAATTCATTTTGTTCATTAGACATACAACAGCATTGATCTCGCGACCTACGGAAACGGAGTAGCCACGCAGAAGTCGTATCGTTAAATAGAGATTGAAAAAGCACTCTAGAAAGATTAGACATAATATACGTGTAAAATGTCATTAAAATTATATATATAAGAATTTATGTCAAAAATAAGTTTGTAAGGCACTTTGCCTCTTATTTTTATGCGATAGTGAATTAGAAACACATGTTGACAATTTAGATAGTTAATTACATCCATTTATTATAACTCTAATTTTTTTCTTTGAAATAATCTAATTTGAATTATTGAATCTTTCTCGCAAACTTTTCGTGTCCCTTCAGTACGTAATCGTTAATATCGTCACGCTATAACAAAATTAAACATAAAAATCGAGGCATGAAATAATGAGAGTGATAAAAGATCTTGATTGCGTGAAACTATGAGCAACCTCGATGTAGCTCTTATTATTACCGTAATTTCATCTCTCGTTCGCACAACGTGCAAGCAAGGTGAAGGCGAAGCGTACTTTTATTTTCGCGCATCGAAATGGTTTTCCAAGACAGTGAGATAGAAAATCTTGAAATAGAATAGACAAGATCAGACTCGCGATTGCGACAAGTAATCAGTCAAGTGGAAATTCGATGACAATACAATAATATCCAGGAAGAACGCGGCGCGTGAACTCAAGAAACCGTACAATACATATATGTATAATTTAGAAAGAGCCACGCCGTTGCTCGCCATCGGTGGCATCGCCGCCTTCGTTTCTACGAGGTCGCCTATAAAGTGCGGCACACATGTGCGTAAGACTGTGACCGGCGAGATTATGTCGGCCAGATATCTCCGCGAATGTGCGGATGATTGTGGGAGGAAAAACCGCGGCGGCTTATTTCGCGCGCGCGCGCGAAAAGACCGCTCCGGTCGGTAATTTGTTTTACGGTCGCGAGAATCGATATCGCGCGCAACCGATCGATCGCGTGCAACCGATGGGTGCAATCACGCGCGTCGATTGTTCTCCGCTCCAAAGGTTTCACCCGCGCGTTCGTTACCCGCGTTCCGAGGGAGGGAAAAAAAAAACGCGGCGCGGCGTGTCAGAGCAATGAGGGCGGACAGCGGCGCGGTTTCATTACGCGGGCGGTATTTCACTGCGTTGTTTTGTCTCGGCGATCCTTCGTATGACACATCGATGAATATTCATCATCTATGATATAATAACTCATGCAAAGCGTGCACACACATCTCGTTGTCGCGATATTTATGGGATTAGAAATGATTTTTTTTTGAAAGACATTGTAGCGCGTGTCATATTTGTGACACCTTGCGAAGATTTTGTGCGGTATATTAATTTATTATATCCCCATGTATTGCACGAAAAATTTTTTAAATTTTAATTATCTTTAAAATTCGTAATTTCTCCCTTTCTATCAGAGATTATTTTCCATTTGAAAGTTCTTACTATATAGAAAGCTTTTTTATTTATTACATGAACAATAATAATTTAAATAACGATTTTCTATTGTATATAAGTTTTTTGAGCGTATCTTTAAATCAATGACAGATCAATTAATTAAAATTGAAATTATTTTGATATATCAAGTTATCACACGTTAATGACTTTTTAATTTATTTATATAACATTAATATGTTAATTATTAAATTATAGGTCTTTAGACACGCTTTTCCTGTAGAAAAACTTGAAATAAAAATACTACAAACCGGTATAATAGACTTAATTTCACTAATATGCATCTATTTTGCACGTATTACATCAACGAGAACGTAGTAAATACTATATATTTATTCATAAGAATGTTTTTTTATTATTATTTTTTTTTACTTGTTATACTGAAATAAAACAAAAAATCTCTTATTTAATATTTGTTAAGCAAAAACGAGCGCGCGCGACTGTCAATTTAGTTAAATTAACACATCTTTTATTTATTACATTTACTATTATATGTAAATGGAATGGATGATTTCTTGTTTACTACTCAAAATTGATTTTATTAATATTATCAACAATCTGTAAAAAGAAAAGTTGATCTTTGAAAAAGACATACAAAAGCTTAGAGACTAATGGTCAAATACATATACATATATACGTGTACGAGTATATACTGTACATACGCGCGCATTAAAAGACGTACTTCCGCGTTTAGCATCGAGTGAAACGGACCGTACTCGACTTGTTCCTGTCTACGTAAGCGAATTTTTACGCTATCAATATTAATCGATCTAATTAGATTGTGTCTATATAGAAAGCAAAAATTGCATTAATAGACAAAAATTTAAAACGGTTGTTGACCACAAAATAATTTGCGATAACGAGCTCTTTAATGCATTTGTCATTGCAGAAATTAGAAATCACTTCCTTATTCTATAATCTCCGTTTCTTTTTGTATATAATTGACAGCTTACATTAATATACAATTGTATTATTGAGCATATTACCAATTACTTTTAAT